TTTTTCCCCAATGTTTTTTTTTTCTCTGCGATATTGCGGTTATCCGCATCCCCAGATGACAATAAAAAAAAGGTAAAACTTTATTTCGAAGAGTATTCAGGTGATTTTTATTGCATTATACGTTTAAGGTGCAGCTTAAAGTTTTAAAAGAAAACGCACTGTTTGTAGGAAGTGGTTTCTACCACCCAAAAAAAAGGGGAAAAATAATGAAACAAAGGTGTCGGATATCACTGATTTTTTTTAGTGGTCATGGCCTTGTTATGATAACTGTTTTTGCTTTATATCTATAGGTTTAAGGACCCAATATCTAATTTATAGTTGCACAGGAACAAGCTTAAGAATTGGTTTCTAACAGCTACTTTAAAAATAAATAAAGGAATAAATAAAAGAAAGGTATTGGGTATCAATGGTCATGACCTTGTTTTTTTGCTTTATACGTTTAAGGACACAATCTCTGGTTCTGGAAGTTTCCCTGAAGGAACGAGAGTACTGCCTCATCTTTTAAAACTGATCTTTGCCTATTTTCCAGTTTCCTTTAACAATTTCAATTGTCATTGGTAGGGCGAGGCTCTGTTTGTGAAAAAGCATTCAATCAGTTCCTTCTATCCACTTGCATACCCATATCGTTGTACAGAGAGGGGAGGGGAATTAAGGGGGAGGAGGTGGTGCTGGAATTTGTCTGCGGTTTGTTGGTCACGAGGTTATTTTTGATCCACTATCTTGAATTTCACTAGAAAGTAACCTACATTGATGGAAATTAATCTAAATGACAATGAAATATCAAGAAAATAATAAATAAAAAACACTGAAACATGATAAATTCGAAAATTGGATCGTCCCGCTTTTGAAAATGCGGTTGCTATTGGACATGTTAAATGACCTAAAAAAAGTACAGTATATATGTCAATCAACGTTCAGCATGGAATGACTCTGTCCTCCTATTTTTTGGTGCTCCATTTTTTACTCTATTCCTCAAGGTTACTGAACGCCTGAAAGAGGCTAGCTTCTAAAATGAATGGTGAAGAAACAATCACCAATTTTAAAGTGTGCTGATGTGTCTTATCTTCATGACTCAGGTTTCCGTTGGAAAGCCTGAGTGTTATAATGCAAGCTAGGCGTTCCTTACGTAGAGCGTGGAAACTGGGGATGACAATGCGACAGATTGCTTTATCGTGTCTCTGCTCTTCGTGAACAATGTAATATACAGAATGCCGTGTTTTGTGAAGAGAGTTTGTGAAGAATCACGCCTTATACGTTCATCTCGCATACAAAGATGTCGATCGTTTTCGGAACGGGTCGGTCCTAGAATTATNCCCAACCCTTTCCTGCATTCAATGTTGTACAAGCACAGAAGGAAAAAAAAAACTAATTTATCAAGGGAGAGTGGGTAAAATTTAAGGAAATCGAGGCTAAAATAATTCAGAAATATTGTTATCTCAACGGCAATGTGTGGGCTATTGTGTCGCAGATTGTAGGCAACTTTTTCGTTCAGACGATATTCTGTCAATATTATCCTAAGGAAAATTCATGCATTATTGTATGTACAAACTGCAACACGATCTGTCTATGTTATCCTAAGTAAAATACATCGAATTTCCTATGCTTTAAATAACATGTCAACGATGGAGTTGGAGATTCATCATTGAAAATGCCCCATCAGTCATGCTGCGGGCCTCTTTGGAACATGGGCTATAATTCAGAAGTGAGGGTAAAAGAGATATCATGCTCTTGAGTTATAAAAACTGAGTGATAAAAGTGTTGACGAGCCTGCACGACTCCTGCCGTTCGCGGATGAATAAGTTATAAAGCCTTCATAGTTTAGCTTTAACTAGGATGCCTTTTAGGGACTTTCCCTTGCGATACGAGATGATGGCGGGCTCCTTAAAGATTTCTCTCAGTAGCGGGTGATTATCTTTAAGGTGCCATTTCCCCAGAAGTGTGTCTTTTAGGTTAGGCAACGTCGGGTGGTATTTCGTAACAAAGGGCAGTATTTTCTTTTGTGCGGTTTTGTCTTTCTGTGCTAGTGACATTTTTCTATCAGAG